AAACAGGTCAGAGGAGAAACTTTCAAAGAGGAGAGTATGCTATTTGTTCTCAGCTATGCTTACTAAAAAATATAGGGAAAGTGAAAGTAAGCCTGATAACCTGAGAAGGATTTCTGATTTCACATATTTCTAAACTGTAAGATTGGAGAATTCCATATGGGTCCAATGACCAAATTTATCTTCAAGAAAAAGCCTACTGCTAAAAAGCAGATTATAGTTGTCCTAGACTTTTCATTTTCAGAACTGTGCTTGAATGCAGGAAATAGGAATGGACCTGGGAATCCCTGCTGGAATGAGTAGAGAGAGCAGGGAGCACAGCACAGTGTGAGGCTCTCTGCAGATAAGAATTCTATCATCTGTTTTGAAAAGCCCTTAAGATTGGAGGAATCTAACAGTGGTACCAGCCAAACCTGATTAACAAAGATTCTCTGAGGATGAAGATGATTTTAAAATCAACAAAGAGTTGCTTTACTTAATAGGCAGGCATTTATGTAAATAGAGTAGAGAATACAAGTCCACATGTAAGGCTCAACCTTTCAGTGGTGTATTTAGAGTGAAATCAAGCCCTGAAAACACAGGTGCAGGCAGAGATAGTCAGAAGCCACCACCAGATGGTCACACTGCACAACAAACGCAGTACTCCTCTCCTCTGCTCCTGACCAGTACTACCTGCTCAGTCTCTCAAACTCCACTGCAAACCTCCTTTGACCTCTCCCACAGACTGAATAAACAAAGAGGTGTGAGAGTTCAGTCGACACAGTGTTTAGGGAGCAGTGAGTTGTCTGGAATCATTACCATTATATACCACTCTGTGCTCACCTAGAGAGCCTCAAACTGTGAAGTTAAGAACATTAGTAAAATCTGGAGTTTGAAAACTTCTGATGGTGTATCTGGAATTCTTAACTAAAATTCCAAGAAGGCCAGTGTCTTCTAGATTGCATACATGAATAAAAATAGGAAGAACTATTCTATCTCCTGGATTAGATACTGGCCTTTCCTTTCTACCTACTAACCTCTGAAGTCAGTAGGAACTAACCAGAGAAAGCATTTCTCCTCCACCTTAGGAGCACATACTCTCAGTTATGTCTCATCCTCTCATTCTTCTTAAAATTCTCTTTGGGGGATATAGTTCATCAGCTACCAGGACCTAGATATAGATAATTTAAATAAAACCTCGTTTAAAACTCTAGATTTTCATTTTTGACAGTTGTAGCATATGAGAAGAACTCTTGGATTTGAAGGTTTGCATTGTAAATTAGATGACTCATATATTTCAAATTTTTACATCTCTTAACAAATCTCTTTTAAGACTGGACTTCTTAACTAAAAGAGGAATTAATTTCCTTATTCCACAACAAATTGTTTCCTACACAGATATTTGGGAATTCAAAAGATCCAAGGTCAACGAAATCTAGAACTTTAGAAGCTTGTTTTGACCCTATTCAGTCTACTTGCCAATGGCAACACTAATGGGTGTATCTGGGTGTATCTGGGGATGCTTGAATTACAAAAGACAAATCTCAATCCCTAATTCTCAGCCCACAGTTCAAGGAATTCCAGCATGGAGAATGATTCTGATGAGCAGTGAATCTCTTTCTGAAATATTTCAAGATGAGAAAATGCTGTTGGATAAGGCTGGGGGCCTGAGAAGAGATGAAAAATAGCCAGAGATCTGAGCAGAGCTCTGGCTGGCCTCCAGTTCCTGACAATGTGATGCTGTGTTCTTCTAGTTTCTCCCTTCCTGGGCCTCCTGTCATCACATGGCACAGATGCAGAGGCCCAACAGGCAACCTCAGCTGCAATTAAACAGCAGAGAGCCAGAGCATTTGTATTCAACTACAAAGTTTAGGGGCACAAGCTTGAGGCAGGACAAATTCAGTTCTTGCAATTGTTAGAGATGACGTATGAGAGCAGAATAAGTTGGGAGCATATTTAACAGTAACAAGTAATTTTGGTCAGAACACTTGTGAATGATCCTTAGCTCCATCATCACAAGCTGTGTGATCTTGGGAAAGTCACTTCATCCATTTTAATTCCCACTTCTTTAGCTGTAAAAATTGAGAGGATATATACCTTTATCTCCATCAGGGTTATGGCAAGGATCAAGTCAGGATAAGCTATAAAACATTACTGAAATATCACTGATGCAAGGCAATAAATACTGGGTGTTTCACATGTCCCTGGTGCAATACTTGGTAGTTCTAAGTAGTACAACAATCCTAGCCCTCAATGAGCACTCCAACAAAGGGGGCCAGTGTGTGAACACACAAGACAACTCTTCACAGTGGTGTGGAATAGAGACAGAGTTACAATTAATATAGTCTGAGGAATGAAGGTCAGAGTCTCAGTTAGGTGATACTAGATCTGGGCCGTACAGGATAAGTGGGTGACAGCCAGGCAGTGGAGGCTGGGACGTGCATCCTAGAGAGAGAAATGAATAAGCAAAGAGGTATGAAAGTACACAGTGTTTAGGGAGCTTATGTGGCTACAACACAGGCTACACAGGGCAGAATGCTTGGAAATGAACCTGAACAGATTGGAACCAGGTTGTGAAAAGTTCTGTATCATTACAGAGTTCTGTGTCTTTGAACTAGAAGCAACTGGTACACACTGAAGGAATTAGAGAAGAATAGCAATTTTTTCTTATTTCTTTCTTCTTCATCATAATACACACAAAAAATAAGACACAGTATCTGCCTCCAAGGTACAATGTAGCAGAATGTATATAAATGTATATAGAATGTATATAAATGCTACATGTAAGTGCTATAACAGAAGTATAGCACTTATACTTCTGAGGTGTTAAATTGGTATCACCCAGGCAGAACAGAGTTGGTGAAGATATTCCACACAGAGGAAGCAGCATGAACAAAAATATATAGTCATAAAATAGCATGGCACATAGTTCAGCAAGAGCTTAAGGTAGGAGAGGAATTTGACACTGGAAAGGTAGGCAGAAGCCAGGGCCAGTACAGCAGAGGTTAAGCGCACAGGTTCTAGACTTTAGTTTGCCTGAATTCTAAAATTTGAGTTTTACCTCTTTCTAGTGATGTGACCTTGAACAAGTTACTTAACCTAAGAGTCATCTTCCTCGCTGATAAAATGGGAATAGTAATAGAATCTACAGTATAATGTCACTGAGGATTAAATGGGATAATCCATGTAAAGAACTTAATCAATCAAAATGTCTGATTTACAGTATGCACTCAAAAAACTATTTTATTATTTATAGTTATTTAAAATAACTATAGTATTTCATTATCATTGCTATTATAGAAAACTTCGATAGGAAACTATTATAGTGGTCAAGCTGAAAGATGAATAGGGCCCCAGGCTACAGCAGAGTTAGAAGGGTGGAGAAGAGAAGTCAGATGCAAGCATCCTTCTGAGTTGGAAGTGATTGACTGGAGCGGTGACAAGGGAGGGATGATGGGAAGGGCTGAATATAGTATGATTCTAGATTCTTAACTTAAACAGCTAGGTACATGAGTAATAAAAATGGGATACGCTGAGTATAGGATATGTCTGGGTAACATGCAGATGAACATATCAAGTACACTGTGAGATATACAGGTCTTTGGCTGGGAAAAGAATGCAGGAAAATTACATTCTTTTCCATAGTTTGAAAATTGTGCCCACCTGCAGTCTGCATTAAACAAGTAGCCCTAAGGAGATGTGTGACTTATGTAACACATCTCCCTGGCCATGGTTTACTGAGCTACAGATGTCTTCAGATGTGTGTATGTCTTCAGAATCACATAGCCACAGTGGTTTAACATCACCATCTGAGAGACAATCACCATGGTTCACATACAAGCAATGGGAGAAATGCAGAGAAATGAATGTAGGAGACAAACAGAAAGAAATAAAATGAAGGAATATAAGGTCTCATAAAAAGAGAAAGAGACTAGCGGCCACAGAATGTCTTGTTTTCATAAAGCCCAGCCATATCCAGACATCAGACTCAGTGAAATCACCCTGAGTCCTTTTCTACTTGTGCTTCCTTGCATGCCATGCAACCCAATGGTCCCTGTGACTGTCACCGATGAGACTGACAAACAGGAGTAGAGAAAACAAAACAAGAAAATGGCCAAAGGTAGGACCCTGGAGAACATCAACATGGAGGAATCCGACAAGGAAGAAAAGCCAGTGGAAAAGGCGGGAAAAAGGCATTAGTAGAGGGAAGAGGTAATTCAGGGAAAAGCAGTGCTAGAAACCAACCTATGAGAGGTCTCAAGGAGTAGTAAACTAGTCAGCAGTTATCAAATGCTGTGGGGAAATCAAACAAAGAGGAAAACAAATTGGCAATTAAGAGGTCCTGGTAAACTTTCCCAGAGTTGTTATTAGTATAACTCAAAATTATTTTAATTATTTGAGTATTATACTCAAAAACTTTGTTTTCAAATCTTGACAGTCACATCAGTCATACTGTGAATCCTTAAGTGAGTCTTTAGCATGCCTCTGCCTTGGTTTCTCCTCTATTTAAAAATAATAAACAAATCTCCCCTCAATCCCAGTCATTCTGGAAGTATTTTGCATCATAAACTGCATGGTGGTTATACATGAATATACACATGCAAAAATTCATAAAAGAATTGTGCACTTCAAGAGCGAGAGATAAAGAATGAAATCCTCTCTGCCCCATCCTTACACAGGAATCAGATTAAAAAAATACAAATGAAGACAGGAGCTTATAAAGTAATTTGTAAAGCTAGGAACAAAGTGTTCTTTGAATCCCAGGGATCACCCGGTGGTATCCTGAACCTCAGCCCCCTGAGGTAATGGCATGTATTACTGTCCTCTCCAAGAACCTGCTCAGTAAAAGTTTCCACACTGTTATGACTATGTTAGTAACTTAAAAAAAAAAAAAGTCACATGTGTGACTCAAGTCCATGGCAAGCAATCTGAACTCTCAGAGAGAAGGGCCTGATGGATCCAGATTACGAGCAGGCAGAGGTGCCAGGATCCAGATTACGAGCAGCAGCTTGAAGGACACCTACCTTCATCAGGTGCTTGTTGACCCACTTGGTGAACGTCTTCTTCTGAACGCGGTCCCGTTCATCTGTAAAGGAAACACGGGGAAGGCACTGGCTTAGTGCTACCCAGGCAACAAGTTCCCATACCCCTGCCTTGCCCACACCCCAGTTTCTCTGTGGACCGTAGAGCCGGTTTCCACGGCACTGTGAGACCATGTCTTGTTGGGAAGGTTTGGCCTGTCTGAACTTCCTCTTCTGTCCTGACCATGTTGTCACTTTACAAGATAGACAGAACTGTGTGCCTCAAAGATGTCATGGCAGATTCCACAGCACCATAATTCTCTGGGGAGCAAAGCAGTTCCCTGCTTCCCCTACAGCAACCTCCAAAAAACCAAAGCAATGAACACTGAGCACAGATGGGGTGCAGTGGCCCTGACATTTGGGACACTCACGTCACAGTAGTGAGCGCTCATTCGTCACACACCCGTCTGCCCGGTCACTGCTCTACTCCCTCCCTTCCCCACCCCCCTGGGCTTCCCTGATTCCAGTTTTTCCAGCAGTCATTACCAACCACTCAACCTCCCAAAACTGCCCAGTTTACCGCAGGCACATCACCCCTACCCCTTTCCTTCTCCTAAGGCTAACAGCCATTTATTTGTAAGCAAACTCTCCTCCATTCACAATGCTGTTCACCTCTTTATCAAAAACAGGACTACTGTCAATACTGTTTCAGAAACCCCATCCTGAGGAGGACCCACTTTCTTCCACAACTGCCAATTTCCCAGAGGTGCTTCATCAGCCCTGCTCCTTTTCTATTTACTGAAGTCCATGTCATCCTCACTGTCTCACTGTCATCAACCATTCCCTGCATCTGTCAAAGCTACCTTAACCCTCCCTGACTACTTGGTTCACGTTTACTGCCTCCACACAGACCCTCTGGCATCATCCTCAAATCACTTCAACATATATGCTGACTGTGCATCTGAGACTGCTTGACTCCACCAGCTTTCGTCTCCAATTCACTGCCAGCCACCACACTGCCACTTGTGGGCCTGATTCCTTCTCCGCACGTACCTATTTAGCAGCTATCTTTATCAATCTCTCATACCTGGTAATCACTCCCAACCTGCATCACTGCATGCTTAGTTTATCCTACTTATCAAGAGCATCTAAGATTACCGCAGTCTATGCTAGACAACATGGTCAAGCTATTAAAAGCTGCCGTCACCAACACCCCAGGAACTCTTGTGAGAAACACACTCACTGGTCCAAATTCAATAAGTGGACACGGAGACAAAGAGAACAGTGGAGCAAGGCTTTAATGACGGTCTTGCAAGATAGGGTGCCTGGTGGGCAGGCACACCTGGGGAGCTTGGTGCCAATAATTTATCTCCTAGTGCGCGAGTCCCTCCCCTGGTTCTTCATTGGCTGAGTATTACAGGGTTCACAGTCTTCCCCAGACGTTGCCTAAGCCCGTTATATCTTTCCTTTACATTTGCCTTATTCTTATTGGTAGGTTTTAAAAAAACTCAAACAGGTATAGTCAGGCCCCTTTCAATTTCCCCACCTCCACTCTCAGCCCAAGCAGCTTCCACCACGTGGCCCTTTGTTAATACTTTACTGTTAAAATGTTTAAACATCCTAGTGGGAATAAATCACATTTAGGTTTTATACTCTTTCCTAACACTCTCACCTGCCTAACCTTCTACTACTACGCTCACTGTGACAATCTGCAAACCTGAAAACCAACGTGGCTTGACTCTTCCTTTTTTTCCCCAAGTCAGAGAACACTTTGGAAGAAGGTGGCAGAATTACATAGACCTGTTTCACACAAACTTCAGTTAGGTTTTCTCTATTCCCTAGTTACTGCCTTCTTACTGATTCCCCAGTAAAAGCTACACAGGTACTATTCCAAACGTTAATACTCTCACTACACTTACAGGTGAATGCAGAGCCACTTATTTTTCTGAGTTCATAGCCATATAATGAATGCTCCCTCATTTCTGCCTCTTGTCTGTCCTTCACAACAGCTTTCTTTTCAGCCTTGCATTCATTCCTGCTTTGCAAGGAACTATGATGTCTTCCTCCGGTAGACCCCAGACCTTAGGAACTAGAATGGGCCTCAGACATTATCCGGTATAAATCTCTGCTGATACACAAATCCCTTCAACAACAAAGAATCACATGTTCAGGGTTGAAAGGTCTGTCCAAACCTTACATACCTCTACAATATTCTTGACACTTAAAAACAGAGAATTCACTACTTCATAAGGTTACACATGCCAATTTTTTTAGTTCCATAAAATGGCATAATCTTCTTTCTTATAAATTCTACCTATTGGTTATCATTTGGAACTTTTTAAGTGTTATCTTTCACTTAATAGAGTCCTGCTCTATTTGAAGCTAGCATTTTTATTGGATTTGACTGCTGTCATTCCAACATATTTTGATCTTTTTAGATACTGATTCAGTTTTCCAACATCACCATCATCCTTTTCAGCCTGTGTTATCTGCAGACTGAAACAGAATCAGCTTACAACTGCAGCCTCACCTAAATCACTGACACTTCACTCATACTATTTGTTTTCTCTTCCTCTCTACCTCTCAAACGCTATTTACACTTTAAAATCCAGCTCATTCATTCACTTGTCTATTCTTTAAATAGATCTTTATTAATAACGTAGTTGCTTGGAAGAGCCTGCATTTGGCTCTGGCAACAGAGATATCAAAGTCACATTCCCTAGCTGTAAAAGAGAAGGCAGCCTAGCAGAGAAGAGAAATAACTTCGACACAGTTTGGTAAGTGCTGTACAGAGGTAAACGCAGAGTGCCTAAGATCACAAGAGAAATGGTTAAGCCTACCTGAGTAGGGGAAGAAAACATAGAAGGTTAGTGAGACTTTCCAGATGAGTGACTCTAACTGTGACAAAGTGAAGTTAGCGAGGAGGGAAGGAACAAACCTACTACATGAAATTTCATCTAGTGCAAATCCATGGAGACAAGAAGGAACGTTCAGGGAACTGCACAGAATTCAGGATGGTTGAAAGACAGGATGTGTATTAGGTAATGGTGAGACTTAAAACTGGATAGGATGGCCTTTTGTGACAAGCTAAAGAGTCCAACTTTATTAGCAAGAAACTGGTAAAGGGAAGGTAAAGGGCAGCTTTGAAAGATTTTAAATAGGAAATGACATGATCAGATTTGTGTTTGAGGAAAATTACTCTGGCAGTCTTTCCTGACAACTCCAATTCTCAATAGTCTCTTTGTCCTCAAATTTCTATGGTACTTACAATGTTCATCACTCAATCAGCACTTATGTAATTATATAGAGTTCTGAACTTTTAATACACTTATTCTCCCATCACCAGTGATATCATTAACTCCTTAAAGGAAAGAGATCATGCCTTACTTTCTTGTATCTCCCACAGCTCCTAACAGGTAAAGCTCTACATAATATGACCTAAAACAAAAGACTTCTCTTGATTGACCAATATATTATTAGAAGACTGGCTAAAGAAATACACAGAATGAAATCAGAGCGGAGTTTTCCACAACACAACAGCAAAATATGTAAAACCTCCCAGGCCCCAGTAAGTATTACCTGTGTGCTGGGACATGCAGACATAATGGGAAAAAACAAATTTAAGGTGAACTAAAAATTCTGTCCACCACATTTTCACCAGTATCAAACCCACTCTCCTTTACTGTATTTATTACCTTCATAACAGAACAGTCTGTTATAGTTTTACAAAACTCTCACTTTGAAGACACAAATTTTCTTATTTTTCTTTCTAGAATTTCTTTTATTACAAAAGTTATATGTGTTGCTGTAACAGGTTAAATACATAAATGAATAAGGAAAAAGATTAAAGGATTTCTTTTTTTATTTTTATTTTTTATTTTGGTATCATTAATCTACAATTACATGAAGAAAATTATATTTACTAGGCTCCCCCCTTCACAAAGTCCCCCCCACAAACCCCATTACAGTCACTGTCCATCAGCATAGTGAGATGCTGTAGAATCACTACTTGTCTTCTCTGGGTTGTATGGCCCTTCTCGTGTCCTCACACACACATTATACATGCTAATCATAATGTCCCCTTTCTTTTTCACCACTTTTATCCCTCCCTTCCCACCCATCCTCCCCAGTCCCTTTCCCTTTGGTAACTGTTAGTCCATTCTTGGGTTCTGTGATTCTGCTGCTGTTTTGTTTCTTCAATTTTTCTTTGTTCTTATACTCCACATATGAGTGAAATAATTTGGTACTTGTCTTTCTCTACCTGGCTTATTTCACTGAGCATAATACCCTCTAGCTCCATCCATGTTGTTGCAAATGGTAGGATTTGTTTTCTTATGGCTGAATAATATTCCATTGTGTATATGTACCATATCTTCTTTAATTGGATTTCTTTTTAAGCTGATCAATATTTTAAAGAAAAGGTAGAATTCAATGTGATTTCTTTTTTTGTCCATTACCTTATTTATTTTAGACCTGAAGATGCAACTAGCACAAATCAAGTCTTCTTAGTTTGACCAACCACAAGGTGTTCTGCTCACCTACCAAGTCCTTCCATGAGGATGTTGCACTAGGGACACTTGATGTTCTCATATCAGTCATGCTTCCAATAGCCAGAAAAACTGACTTTCAATTCAGGAGAAGAGGTCCAAGTACTTATTCTGAATATAATTACTAAGGGCAACATGATTACACCCTTCCCAAGAGCAGCTAGCCTGTTAAAAACTGAGCCAAAGTTCCTCAGAAAAAGATTTTATAGAGAACAACTCTGTCCCAAAGCTGGAGGATTCTTTTTTAGGACCCTGTGTTGCAGACCCATCAATTACATGAAAGTTCTTTCCTGATTAAGCATCAGGACAAGAGGATACTATAGCACCCTGAGTTTAAGATCTTTTTATTTTAGCAAGGAAATTCATTAGGGAAAACAACATTAAAGAACAACATTAACTATTACACAAACCTTCAGACGGCTTCAAACAGCTTGGAATTTCAAACTTTTTAATTAGTTTGAGGTTTGGCACCCTACACATAAATTTCTACTTTAATTCCAGGTGCAAAAAAAAGATCT